ATCTTCTGACAGCAGCAGTGGAAGCGCTTCAGGCTGTGGCTTTATTTCTGAAGTCCTGTCTCCTCCGTTACTTAAATAACTGTTTGGCCGTCCGCCTTGTTCAGCAAAGCACAGAACCGCCTGCTAAATCTGTGGCAGGTGCTGCTATTTTAGGTGCTCGCTTTTGCAAACGCTGTTTTGCAGAGGGACCGCTGTCAGGGAATGCTGCTTAGCGATTGCCTGTAATTAGCTTCCCCAATTAAAGAGCGTGAACCAACTCTCTGCTGTGCTAGCTCATGGAAATCTAAGTGCGTTGCGTTTTAAGACCTTTTGGTATATGTGGGCTTTTAGCTGCCTCTTGTCATTGTATTTTATAAAGAGAGGATGATTGCGTGGGAGATGGTTATATTTTTTTTGTCCCAGCATTTGACAGTCCCTGATGCCGAGGGACCATAAACTGCACCTGCGGCCGGAGGGTTTGCGGAGCTAAATCCAGCTGACTGCAAAATGCTAAACTGAGGGTATTCAGCAAGATTTTCATGGCTGGTCCCGTGCTGGGGGTTTCCAGTCGGGCATTTATCGCTTTGCGACTTCTGTGCGATGCCTGCGCTGAAATCGTTGCTGCCTGCTCGGAGAAGTGGGAGGCTGTTTCTGTTGTTCTTCGCTTTACTTGGGCAATGCGGCTGCTTTGGGGGAGAAGAAACACAAAGGAGGGAAAGTTTTCTATTTGCTTATTATTTTTTTCCCCCTAAATTGATTGTGGGGAGGAAAAAAAAAGAAAGAAAAAACCCTGAACAAAGCCAGCTAAGCAAAAAAATCCCAAAGGGAAGTAAAACTGCTAAAAAAGCAGACTTTTCAGTGGACTCTGGGCCGGCCAGAGCGGGTCATTTCCCACTGCCGGTGCTCAGCTGGGGCAGGGACGGAGCGGTCGTCCCAGCACAGAGGGATGCGGGGTTCACCGAGCCGTGGCCCCGGCTGCCGGGAGCTTCGGGGTACCTGCGGGCAGGGATGCTGCTGGTGTGGTTTTAAACTGTGGTTCCCCTTTTCATTCCTTGCGGTACCCTCCGTCTGGGATCAGAACAAGCTTCCCGCCACCCAAACCCCTGTAAGGATGAGAAGAAACAGCTTTACACCATGGGCCAGTGCAGACACGGTAAAGGGCCCGTGACATTACAGCGTTGGGAGCAAACCTCTCGACCTGCTGGGGCCTTGCCCGTCCCTGGAAGCTCGAGATGGGGCCGAGCAGCCGCAAGTCGGTGTCCAGGTGGTACCTTCCCTACATTCCCCCTCCCCACCATCACCCGCAGCTGTCAGTGCTCATCTCTGAAATACAAACCTTTCCCAGTGCCTTGAACACCATCTCTGTTCCTGCATGAAAATCATTCTGGATTAGACCCCCTTTAGGAAAGAAACAAACCCCCCCCCCCCAAACAACACCCACCA